AATTTCAGCCAAATCGGAGGTGATGAGGTCATTTTTTGCCAAAATCCGTCCGGTTTGTAAAAGAATGACCCATATTCATCTTTCATCAAAGACATTTTAGCGCTTCTATATATTACTCATCCTTATATGAGAATATTTTTCAAAAACATTGCGAGATTTAGGTTTCATTCTTGTTTTTCGTTGGTTCAATCATATATTGCAACTTTGTTTTAGATACAGCACAGATAGAAATACAGACAGTACATAAGGTTACAACCAAAATAATAAAAAATCAATTAAAGAAACAACCCAGAATTAGAACAAATTAAAAATACCGGCAACAAACCATGAGTTTTGATTTGTTTTGGTTTAAGAATATCTAGAAGTATACTGCAAGATTCTGATGAAATGTATACAATACATATCCTTTTTTTTTGCATGATAAAATGTCAGACCGTTTATTTATTTAGATGGTTTTACTGAAGTATAGTTTAAAGCCATGCATATCTTTGTGGTGTAATAAATATTCTATTCGTTTTAAGATAGTGCAATTCTAAATTAGTGTGTTTATACATTATAACACACTTTGCCACTTTGCAATATGAAACTCAATGTATATTGTTTATTTTTATTATACACTTAAAATGTCTATTTAATGCAGTATAATAATTCAATTAAATATTAATAGTAGGCCTTTTCGGTGGCTCGCAATTATAGCAAAAAATGCTTGCTGGCCTATATTCACTACGCGAGACCTTGTCATCACTGCTGCAATCTGTCAAGTGTTATATTTTGGCAAATAATAAATCTTGCATATGTGCACATAATGCAAGCAACTTATATTTTGTATAAAAATAAATAATTAGTATAAATTGAAAATTAAAATGAATACAAAATTAAAAGGAATGGTAAGAAAATTGGAAGTTTCAATATAAAACACTGACATTTTTCTTTTTTCTCAATCTACAATTTATAGTGCGCTTATTGCGTTTGAAACACTTTTCTTTTACTGGCCGAAGTAGAAAAAGTAGTGTTATTATTTTGTATACATTTCGGCCAATATATGCCAGCAACTTGCTGTTTTTTGTCATACTTGCGAGCCATTGAAAAGGCCGAATAATATTTTATATTTAAGATAAGCCGTTAGATGATTAATCCAAACCTCCGATAGACGCAAAATCACTATTGTTGTAAGCTTTGTCTATATAATTATCCTAGGAAAAAAAACCGCAAAAATATTCTATTAGATGGAGGTAACAGTGGACAGGAAATTAACATGGATCATTTTATCTATATATCATATAGATCCATATATCAGAATATATATGTTTTTTTATTTTTTGTTTTCGGCGGGGAGAAGTGGAATGTCTACGCACTGACCACATAATCCGACGCCCCAAAAAATGAGTGCCCGACTTGCACTGACTAAACAACTCTACCTCATTCCTAAAGACATTGTTCTACCTTGGGACTACGTTAGTATCACTTCGAGGTGTATATCAGGATATATAAATTGAAAACTAATACTAATACAACTGAACATTTTTTATTCCAATCAGGAAACTATTGATGATGACCAAATATCAATAAAATAAAAATTATTGTAAAATTTATTAAAAATCAAAACCAAACACTATTAAAAGCATTTGGTCATAAAATAATAAATATTTAAACCACTTCATTAATAGGCCTTTTCTTTTGTAAGCATATTACAAAAGAACAACTGCTTGTTTTAAAAATAACATATGAAACAACAACAATGCTAGCTTATTTAATCCAACCCTTTTCGAAACCGCTTAACTAATAAGCAGTTCAAATCACGTAGTTGCCAACACTAAAGCTCGATTTTTTGAAGTACGTACATAACTTTCAGATAAATGTCAACGAATGACTTCGTTAATTCTTAGTATTTCGTGGCGTCATTGTTCGTAACAAATATGTTACCTTTTCTATTTATTATTTTACTGTTAAAGACATGAAAATTCATATCTTATTTACAATCATGTAAAAAATATATATCTTTACCAATAATTCCAATGAATTATTAATCATTTTCAAAATTTTAACTTTAAATTTTACTACGTGTTTTGCATACATAAGCCTAACAAAATTCACATTTATGTCCAGAGTTGCCATCGATATTAGTGCTTATTTTATTTGTTTTTTTGCGACTTGCTTACAAAAGAAAAGGCGTAATGTAACCAGGAAGACAAGAGGATAAACTTGTAGAGCGAAGTTAATCGTTTAAAACTATTTAAGTTTTACATTTTATAAAAACTTTCCCATTTGTGTAGATAATAAAAATATTGTTATATGTGGCATAAATCCTAGTATGCCAATCCAGCAAAATAAAATGAAAACTGTTGAAATGAAATTTCAAAATTTTTTGAGCTAAGTAAACTATGAAATATATTTTTTTATATGTATAATCAAGCTAACTTGAAGTTGATTTAAAAAATTATAAATAATTTTTCTTTCACATTGTATAAACAATTTTTTGGATTATTCAACTAAAAATTGTTTGTACTTTGATTTATGTATACATAGTTTTCTGCCTTCGAATACGGTAAATTGCAATCAATCACATGTTTTACATTTTAATATAACTATTTCATATTTATATGCACCTGAACAACTATCAAACAAAAAATAATAGCTCACCTATGGCTGATTCCGGAAATATTGATAGACCAGTGTTTGATGCCTACCAAGTAGCTATACTTCAAACTAAAACTGAAAACATCATACGTAATGCTCGTGAACTAGTTGAGAGCATTTCGGAGAATATTGATCAAGAAAACCGTCGTGAAGGTCTTCTGCGAATTCCGGATGCTGTCGATAGGGGTTAGTATAAAAAATCTTATCCAATTTTTTTTCCTGAAGTTAGTGGTTTTATGGTTATGCTTTTTCTTTAGCTTACACAGTCGTAAAACCAATTATTGACTACCCTTTGGCCAGTGAGCATTTAGATATGGAACTTGAGAAGGTCTATACAGAAATGGGAGCCATTCGCCAACAAGTTGATATGTTTAAAAATATTCCACTGGCTAATATAGATGTTGATGGAACTGGCTTGCTTCACGTACTCAACTTAAAGCCTATAAATTTTCGTGCACAAAAAGCCATAGTGGAATCTGTTCGAAGGGACTTGCTTAATATTAAGCACATTGGTGTAGTGGAAAATATTTCCCATATTGCGGAGAGACAACTTAGAATCATTAACCCAAAGAGCAATGATATCCATTGTGCGAATATATTGAAAACTGAGCAAAAGGCAGAAAAAGATGCTGAACAAGGCGGCGCCAGCAACTAAATGAAAAAAATGGATTCAGTAATGCATGGTAAGGTATATATATTTAAAAGAATCAATTATAATAATACTATTCTATTCTACTATATTTTTAGAATGACATTTAGGGTGTAGGTAGGCATCATCGGTTAATATACTTATTTAGGAGGAGAAGTGCACCTTTATGAGAACAAATCATGCATCATATATATTATATATAAATTGAGGAACCAAAACTAAAGGCAGACAAACGTTTATACATAAATCAAGGTTTTATAGTTGTTATTTGAGAAAATAAAAATTATAGTTTTCGTTTCTGTTCATAAGTTTCTAGTTTTTTTTAATCTTCCCTACGGACGTTTTGAAAAAACTCCAATGAACCTAAAATATGTTATATAAATAGGACAATACCTGTCGGAACTACACACATCTTGATGCAACTGTAGTACCTTTAGGTGAAAAAAACAAATATTGGAATGAGAAGAGTTCTTAAGAGAATAAGAACTTTATGTGTAGAGTAAAATGAAGCGTAATGTAATTGAAGTCTAGTGGCACTAGATTTTAACTGAAATCTGCAATAATATTATACATATTGAATGAATCCTCGCAATAATAATCTAGTAACATCCCGAATTTGCAAAAATATGTCCAAGTCCTTCATTTGACTGGCTTATGACTCCAAAAATTATAAATTAAAAAAAAATGAAACAGCCAAGTATCTTTTTTTGTTATTAACAAATTATTAGTTTTATATAAAATTGTATTTTGTTATATTTGCCTTAAGTCGGTTTCGAAGAAATGACTTTTACATTTACTAAATAACTCTAACAAATTTAAAACATAAGTATTTAATTTTAAAAAAATTTTATGACAAAAAATTTTCAGATTTTTTGGTATAAACAAAAATTTTAGTATTTCACTTTACTGACCAATAAAGCCAATTAGACCAACTGCTGATGGGAGAGTTGACAACGCCACTAAAATATTTAAGCAAAAAATTCTATACAAATAATTTTTTTACTTCGACACAATAATGTGAGGAAAAAAATATTTTAAAAATTTATTAGTGGCAAATATTTTTTTGGCAGTAATTTGGAAATAAAACCAATAAAATACAAAATAAAAAATAAATGTGTGAAAAATAATCAACCATAAAAGTCGAAATATTTTTGGAAATTATACTAGCATTTTCACTTCGGATTGGATTATTTTGCTGATGTGCAATAAAACAGCCGAAAATAAAAAATTATTTTTGGCAAAATTTACGACTTTAATTTTTATTTTCAGTTCTAGTAATTTGTTTTTCTATATTTCAAGTTTTTTGAGGTTTTTGTGATAATTTGAAGCTAGATTGGCTTAGATTGCAAATTTTAATTTTTTATTATACCAAAGTATTAAATTTTATTTTCACTAAATAAACATGGAAGGCAAATATGGCTTATGATTTCGTTTGTTGAACTAAAATTATTTCGTGAAATTAATATTGATATATACCTAGCTTAGCGGATACTGAGAATAGTTTGAGACTGAAAAAATATTTATAATATTTGTAATATATATCCTTTGGCTTGAATTTCAATAACTTGTTTTATAGACGATGTTTTTATAAGCATTATATTTATTGTTTTTGCATTATTGTATGTATATTATTTACAAATCACTGCAACCAAGACAAATACTCGTAACGCTCTTTTGACAAAAAGTCTAAGGTAGGATATGTTCAGTATCCTACGAAGGACTTATAACTTTCGTGTGGAATCGTCAGTTAGCACCTGACAATAATCAGTATTTTTAAGGCTCAAAATATAAATAGGGACTCCCATACTACTTAGGGCCATGTTATGTAGAGTGTCTCGGACACTGGATGAGTAAAATTGTTGTTGTTTTGAATGCAAATCATAAAATTGAGATTTAGAGAAAAAACAATATGTCAGTTCAAATTTCGGTATGAGAATCGGGCTATTTGTGCCTCTGCACTTAAGCAAATCAGTGTTGTTTAGTAGTAATTTTCAGAATTTGCGCATTTTCAAAGCAAATTACTACAATTTTATAACGTTTTGGAGAAAAAATGACAGTAAGCACCACAGCCTATTTTTTAAACCGAAAATAATTACTTATTACACTTTCCGATTTTAAGGAAAGGCGTATAATTTTGTGAGTACTGTTAACAATTATTATAAGATAATATAATAATAAATTAATATTATTACAGCGTGTATATGTTTTTTCTTGCTGGTTATTTTTAGTGGCAAATTGAAAGTCAGCATATCCACATATCCTTTTAAATTTAGGCACAACCAAAAAGTACTAAAGTATTGCAAAAATACGAAATTGGCACTAATTACAGTTGAAACAAAGAACTGAAACAGTAATGTGGATGCTCATTATTAAAAAACTTGTCTTATATCATGACAATGTTAAATCCCATACTTCCTGTACCGGTGTTATGTCAGTTCGGAAGCTTTGATATATCTACAGTATAGTTTGTACTATAAGATTATAAAATTTTGTGTTATCCTGTTCATTTAAATTGAACCTCAAATCAGATTGAGAAGACTACCAGCGTAAGGGTTTTAATAGTTTTAATGTTTTCAAATATTTAGACGGTATTTGCGTTTACATATTTAAACCAATATCTAATATCCATGTTATGAATTTCACTTTGTGACCTGATATAGATATTTAGTATGAACGTTAATAAAAATATCACTAATTAGATATTAAGTATACCCAGACGTTTCTATGTGGATCTCCAATTAGTTAAATATATCATTTTATTTATTAATGGCGCATGTTTCTTATATTTTAAAATATATACTCCTTTTAATAAAATCTAAGGTTAGTGTTATGAAATCCAACACGACAGTTATATCTTACAAGTGTATTATTCTGGTATTATTAAGGTTATATATAAGGTTTACTTTTAGGGTTCATTTTTTTATAGTTAGGTAAGATTAGGTTGATGTGGTGAATATACGCTCTAAATGCCACTTAAAAGCAAATAGTGATCCATTGTAGCATCACGGATAAAATATTAAATAGAAATCAAAGAATCCATGCTAGAACGTCGAAACAAAATGTCATGATTCTCCAATTTAGATGAAAGTGAAACAACCTGACTAGTCTATTAACTTAACAAGTCTATTATATCTTAACTATATCTGTAATGTTTAAGGATGCTATGTCTGTCATGTCGGTGAAAAAGGAAGCTGCAAGTATCGAATATTTTACCAGTGGGCATTGGCACATAAGGTAAAATACAATTTCCTTTTGGTTGCAAAGATTATAGTTAACTTCAAAAATTTAATATTCTTTAGACATTTTAAAAATAAATACTAACATATAAAATATCATAAGAAAAATTTTATAAATAATTTCCCAACTTCTGTTCTTGTTTGTTTTTTTTTCTTACAAATCATTATTATTATTTAGTCGGTTCAACAGAATAATTTATCACTTCCAATTATGATTTTAAGGTGTTGTCACTTTTTCACATATTACATTAAAAAAAATGCAAACTTAAAAATTATATTTAAAGAAAACTTCATTTCAAAATCTCTACTGGTTCAGAAATTTAAGAATTTTAATCGCTAATTTTTGTTTTGATACGCTATGTACCAATAAATATGTAATACAAGAGATTTGACAGATTCTTTTTCGAATTTTTCTTTTATATAGGAACATGTTATAGCTTAACTTTTAACCCATTACGGCCCGGTACCAGAAACCGTGGACCGATTTTGATGAAAATTTGAACATTGTTAATTTTTTTTACACATTAAGATTAACTTTAAATTTCATCAAAGTGGAACCAACCGTTCCAGAGATATGGGGACGTAAGTTTACTTACCAATGGGCCAATACATATAGTGATTTTTTGTAAAAATAAAAATATTCGTTCAAATAATACTTTTAGTATAATTTTAAAAAAATACATAGTTCTAACTAATATGTTTTAAATATGTTGCAAAGCAATTTTAATGCAAACGGACTTTACATTTGCTACATTCAAATAGCGTGTGAGTATGGCACACAACGCATCATCGAGGACCATCTTGTACTTTTTCGGATCAATGGACATCATTTTTAATGTTATTAAAATATGATACAGTTGAGTCAAATATAGTTTCAGTTATCACCGAATTTTAAGATGTTGGAACGTACATCAATAAATCGTTGACAATGTTTTCTCAAAACTGTAGTAGTGATAGTGGCTTCTACTTTTTATGAGCTGTAACCATAACATGCAGTTTCTAAGCATTATGGATTAATTTTTCCATGGTTAGTTAGAACTGTAACCAGTGCATTGTCTCTTTAACGTATTGTAACGATACGGATTTCCCGGTTCGTTAAAATTCTTTTGCTGGGGTAACCTCAGTCTCTTCCAGGAATCGCTACAATAAATTTATATTCGCGGAGACAGGACTTCTCAAAATAGAAGTAATGCGTTTAATTTTTTAAATACAGATTTATTTAAAATAAAATTGATTCATTAAAATAGTAATTAAAAAAATGAATTTAATTAATCGTAATTAGATCTAAACTTGATATTGATAATGTATGCAATTTTCAAAAGTGGATTTTTATAAATTACTTTTATTTCTTTTGACTCGGACGACACATCAGTGATTCTGCTGTAACCGGGGTTGGTTCCTAGGTATGGTTGTCTACTCACGGCGTACCTGTTTGGGACAGAAGGGTTAGTGGATAAAAATATATTTCTTTGTTTGTTTAATTAAACTTAATGCACTTTAACACTTTTGCACAAAAGCTTCCTTGTGCATCTTTTTGCAGCGAATTGCGTTTTGACGTTTGCAAATGTTTGTTTACATTTTTACTTTTTACATGAAAGCGCCGGTGCTAATAATTTTATCGTGTTTTTTTAAATTATTTATAATTTAATTTTATAATTATAAAAAATAATTTATTAATAAATTATTTAAATAAATTTGCGGGGGTGAACAAAGAAGGTATGTATTTATTATTTTATTAAGATATATTTCTCTATTTATTACAAATTTATTTTCTCCTAATTTCAGATTGCTTCACGTTGCAGTTGCAGTTGCGTGCAGGCTGGATGGCTTTTTGGTAAGTAGTTTCTAATAACTATGTTAAATGTTAATTCATCTATTTTAATTTCAGATTTCTTCGAAATTTATTTAAATTTATGTAGGTTGCAATGATCAATTTTTGAAGTAAAAAATAAAATTGATCTTACAATGATGATTCTTTTTTTTTAAAAATAATTTAAAAAAAAAAAAATAATAAATAAAAAAATCACTGACATCCAAACACGCTTATAAAAATTATAACAAAAAAAACCTGC